ATAGAAATTAGCGAAAATTCTCCGCCAAAAAAAAAAAAAATACCGTCTAAGAAAAAGCATAACTATTTAAATTAAACTCAAATTCATACTAATTACCACAGTCGCCATTACTGACGAGGTCTAATTGTGGTAACGGCAAGAAATGTATACGATTTAATGGGACCGGAACATTTTTTACCATTATATTTTACAATACATTTCAAGTTTTATTAATTTCTTAACACTACGAGCTTTCTTCTTTCAACTCTAAAATATTTTTATTACCGATCGAAATCCTCATCGGAACTGGTGCTTCCGTTCGAGAGTTCCTCATCATCCAGAATCAATGAAACACATCTGCAAAAATACAATTATTTAGTAAAGAACTGGGAAAGAACTTTCGTATGAAACTAGCGAATTGATCAAGAAAGTTGAGCGAAGGATAACCTGAAATTCGTTGGATCAGAGATTTTGAAGCGATCAGCGAAATGCTCCTCATCGCAATCACGGTCCTTGCAATCTGTGCATGCACTATCCACAACGGAATTAACAACTTCTGATATAACTGCCTGATCCTGAAGGTAACAAAAATCCATGCTGAATAAACAAGTAACAACAGATATAAGTCATACTTTTATCACAGAGATAAAGCACATAAACAAGCATGCACGCGCATGTAAAAACAAACACGAGCATATAAACATACACATACACATACAAACACATACACACACACACACACACACACACACATAGACATAGACGTACATACACAGACATATAGGCAAGCATACACATACACACACATACATACATACACGCAGACACACATGCTCACATGCGCATACAAATACACACATACACACACGCACATACACATACATACATACACACACACACACACACACGCAACACATAGGCCGATCAGAAGCTAATTTGCGCAATTATTTGCTAGTAAATAACTTCCGAAAGAGACGGCCATAGACAGTTTTACCTGCGATTGGTTGCTATTGGCATGTGCTACCGTTCAGGCTGCTTCCCAAGTGCTTCCTCCTCTCAGTGAGATCGAGTGCGGAAGGGGTTTTCGAGCTTTTTTGACATGAATGCGGAAAAGGAATCACAAATCAAATTGTGGACAACATCTGCTGTGAAGGGAGTTCGCTCGAATGGGATTTATGACAGTTTTAATCGGAAAGTCTAAAGAGAACCAGACCAGGCCTATGATTTATGACTGCCGTCTGCAAAAAATACAATTATTCCCTCTCCCCTTTGCTGGGGAAAAATTTTCATCGCTTAAAAAAAAGCCGGAAATATGCAAGCAATAAAAGATAGTAGGAAGTTATAATAAGAAGGAATGAAACAAGCAGAAGAATCAAATAAGAATGCGAAAAATCATAACTGGAAAATCAGAAAATCTGTTAAATTATTATAATGGTAAGAAATGTTTCGGCCCGCAAAAACTAATCTGCGAAAACTAAAAGTCATATACATTTCCTATCATTACCACAGCTGGACCTCGTCGTCAGTATGACGATTGTGGTGATTGAAGTTAGTAGGAATTAACATTAAATTAATTGTGTAAAGGATGTTAGTAGTAACAGAAGGTGTTATAGAAAATGAGTAGCAATAATATGATGGGAAAAGTAAAAACTAACCGCAAAAGATACCGGTTCTGACGCGGCAGCAGCAGCAGCACAGCTCGGCTTATCATCCTGGTGAAGCACAGCCACCGCGGGCTCCGAGACGCCTGTTTCCATCGATGAATACACTGAAAAATCCCCATATCACGCAAAAAACCCATGTATTTTACGCTGAGAAATGAAATAAATGGGGCTCACGTACGGGCACGTGAAAACTATGGCGGGAAAATTCATAACTCGCGAATGAAATAAATGGTAACGCGCACCAGACTAGCCGATGCGATCATGCGTTTTGTGCAATTCAGCCCATCGAACGATTGCCTATTAATGATTTTCT